GAATAGACATTGCAACAACCTCAAACTCTTGCTTGATTTTTTCAACGGAAAGAGCTTCTTGTACTGGCTCTTTAGACACTCGAGTGTGATGCGATGCCAGAGCAGCAACTAGGTCTTGAGCAGTGACGATTCCAGCCATAAGCTCTAAACCAGCACCAATCGAAGTATTGCATCTAAACCTGTGAGAACTCATCTCTTCAAGAAAGAAAGCTCACCTTTATGTATAGGAAGTTGATCCTCTCCTGCCGTGCTAGCCAAGAAATACAACGCGCTGTCCTTGAATATAAAAAAACTGTGATACGAGGGCAAGTTTGACATTTCCACGATTAATGTCACACTCAAGAAGTTTGAATGGTCAGTGGCTGCTTCTAGTGGTAGATGTTATAACCATGAAAAAGGGTGCTCAAAAAAAGATGGAGGGTACAGCGTGCCAAAAAGGCCTTACGCTCATAGAGCGCACCATAAATGCTCAGATGATGAATGAATGGATGCTCTAAAGATTAGGTGCAGACACCCCCACTCCTTGCCGCTTAGGAATCTGGCGAACCGACGCTTGTTGGATACCCGTGCATATGACGTCTACAAGGTCAGGCTGTCAAAAAACAAACGTGAACCAGAGCGAGGATGCGCTTATAGCTGCAGGGTTGACGACTTCTCATTATAAAAACAGGCTAGTTGAACCCTAGAAATCGCGCAGCTGCTTCAAATGAAAAGTAGAAGCGTGTGTCTTCTTGAGCCCGTCGGAGATGATGGCTTTTCTCACCCTATCGCAAGAATGGGAGATCAGAGGTTATGCTATTTGACATATTTCCATTCTACCTAGGTTCTTTCATATACCCTGCCACCTTGCACAACGTAAACTTTGATGGTGCATACAGCTAACGAAGTATCCTTTTGGTCTCCCCCCTCACCCCTCTCCGGTACAACAAAGCCGCACCCTCGTGGAGGGGGCAAATATGGGTTTGAGGCCTATCTGGTTATACTGAAGACAGGGCACATCATCTTTTCAAGGAATACAACAGGGTCGTATATGACCGCGAGGAGGGGGAGGGGAAAGTGTTGAGAAGTTACCCCTTTACAGTCATCTCGAGAAAAACTTTTCTCGTTTCATGCTCGCAGAAGCCCCCCTCCCCCCTCCTCCTAGCGGGCGTCGTAGGGGCAACTTTTGATAGCTGATGTCCA